ATAGCTGTGCCTTTAAGAGGCACTCACATATAAATATCCATGTCTATATACAAAGTCTCTATCAACCCTGCTTTGGTTTGGTCAGGCCTCAGATCCTTATCTCTCCTTCTATCTTTCTAACGGATGGAATACAGTCACAAAGGCTATGTGACTCAGCTTTATTTTTTGCCACAGTGACAATCTGCAAAATTTAACCTGGCTCAGCTATCTACTTCATCACTCTCCTTTCTTCAAAAAATCCCAACTCCCTATTATCTGTAAATAATCAGCTACTTGGTTATTACCTCTTAAAATTTTTTTAGTTTATCGTAAACGACATACACTGTGGAACATACCCTTTTACTGTTGCTTTTAGCAGATTATTGACAGTTTTATAATCTTCATTTAGTTGGTTCTTTAGACGCAACACACGACAACGTTCTACTACACATTCCTTACACAGAGCTTTCACTAGAGGCAAGAGAAAATAAAAGGAAATATAGTTTACTTACATAGAGATTTCTGTTAGGAAAATGTTCACAAAACAGAGAAATCACACATTTTGACAATATAGCAAATTAGCATATATCTTAACGATGTTATCTACATAAAAAACAATAAGAGATGAAATGTGTATATGCTAAAACTATCTTTACCATGAAGTACAAGGTTTAGATGCAAAATTTACAAGACCATAATCAAACAATTGAAAAGAGATATAGAAAAATTAATTATACATTCACACGATCTATAAAAGACCCTCAGGAAGTCGGGGCAGTCGTGTATCTTGTTAACTGTTTAAGGGTATTAACTACTGGAACACTTCAAAGCACAAAACACAAAAGGGCAAAGAAAAATCAAGGGCCTGATTTAAAACACACAGTTCTAGGGATCATATGAAAATGATTCTTTGAAAGATCTTCTCATTGCACAGTTTACTGATTCTAAATCAAAAACAGATATTTAAAAAGCAACACTCCAGATGTGTACAAGAGAAGGCCTGACTATGTAGTTAAATGCCAATTTTTATGCAGAAAGTGGTACCCAATCAGAAAATAGCATTTAATTTAGGGCAAACGGTGGTGGGGGTGGTGGTTGCACAATCTCATTTATTAGACTCATCTACAGATTAGAAGGGAAGCTGTGTTGCCAGCTGCTTGTTAAAAAGAAAAATGTGATGGGGAGAGGCAACCGGAACCAAATAAGACTGCGGACTCTACGTGATTGGTTGTATTCAGGGTAAAATCAACCAGCTCCCATTCATAAGCTGAATAACAATCTGTAGATCTCACACTGTTAAAAGTCACCATAGCAGGAAGCCATAAGACTTGCAATCAACCAGCTCAGGGTTCAAATTCTCTGAAGAGTACTGTATAAAGTAATGAAAAACTACCAGATGATTTCCTCGGAAGTATCCTATTTTGTCTGCCTTAAAGGAAGAGAACAACAAAAAACCCTCAATGAATAGTATCAGTTTCTTTTCTAATAGTATAAATACGACACATATAATGCTGCTTAACGTCTTTATTTAGCAAATCCTTTCTGTTAAGTGTAAGCAACATCTGGTTGAGCATAGTTTGGTCGGATGATCATAAGGATTGTATGATGAGAACTTAAAGCATTTCTCTCTCTTTTTTTTTTTTTTTTTTTTTTTTTTTTTTTTTTTTTTTTTGTAGAGAAGACACCCCAAATTACCAGTTAGTCTTGGTCCTCCTCCGTATCTACTGTAGAAAATATCGGCCGCATATTCAGATATCCTCTTCATAATTGATATTTTATCAGGATGCAGCTTGTCATGAGAACACAGGCAGGCGTGATTATCGATAGGTTTGGTAGGAGTCGATTCATCCAACCACTTTTGCAGCCACTCGAGAGAGACAAATTCATAGGGCTCTGAGGAAGAAAACAAGAGAAAGAGCCTATGTATTTTTACAGCTTTTTTAACTGAGTGATACATTCATTTTTCTCAAAAGATAATGCAAACTCTGTCCAAAGTTAGCAGAATCAGAAGAATCATTGTTTAGGAAGGATGTTTGATGAGTATGACACAAAGCTCCATTTAACTACCTCTCTCCTGAGTTCAAGGAGCTAGGAACAACAGGGACCAGTCTACACAGTGCCCTATGAGATCGGCTGGTATTATTAACCACATTCTACCCGAGAGCTATCCACAGAGACAAGTGCCTTGCTTGATAGCAGAGCAGAGCTTTGATCAGGACACTGTGATGGTTGACCACAAGCCACGCTCCACGCTGGCTCGCAAACTACACAACCTCATCTCCTATTAGATTTGTTCCACAAATAATTTTCATCAACACTTTTCATCAATATGTGATATATATCTGAAAATTAAAAGGAGAAGCCCGACTGAGTTCTAAGTTAGAAAAACCTATCAGAAGCTCTAATTGCACTTTTACAAGCCCATTTCCACCACTGGACTTTTCTTCATCCAAGATGATACTGACATCAATTAAAAGGTATTTGAAGTCCACACCCAAATCCATATCATGATCTATTTGTTACATTATTATGTATTTCAAGAAAGTAAGCTATTTTAAGCAAATTCCAGGATGAAATACACTAGAACTAAATTATTATCAATTCTGGAGTTGCAAAAATTGAGACGAAATGAAACACCTCAGCGTAAGTTTTAGTTTGGGAAAACAGAGTCCCTGAGTTCCCTAGAAGTCAAAATTAAAGATAAAGGGCCAGCTTTGATTACTTACAAAGAGCTCCAGTGAGTCCCAGCATAAAACATAGAAGAAAACATACAGAGGTTGAATTGATGTATTTGTAATTATGTACTACTTCTGATGAGATCTGAGGGATAGACAATTCAACTCAAAGCCCATTTTGACCAATTTTATACTTCTCTGAGTTACAAATCTAGGAAACTAACTTCTATCGTTAGTTTAAATAAAACATTTATTCCAATGTTTACCAAAAAAATTTCAGAATTGGTGGATCCTTATTTGTGCTAAAACGGTACATCACCAACTGAGAGCCTTCTGACTGATCAGCTCTGCTGCAGCTACAGAAGAGCTCGTGACTGCAAGTTATGACCAAGGTCTAATCCAAGTTCTGCCACCAAGAAACTGAACTTGAGCAAGTCACTTAAACTCTATGCTTCAGGTCTTTTATCTGTAAAATGAAGGTAATAATACCTGCCTTCTACCTACCTCACAGGGATGTTGTTGAATGTAAAAGATAAGCTATGTGAAGCATTTTTGAGCTTTTTGGAAGAAAAGAGATATAGAAAAATTAATTATACATTCACACAATATATAAAAGAGGAGACCTTAAGATTCAGTATATGTAACATGGCTGTGGCATTTCACAATACATGATATGGTTAATTCAATTTAAAATACCTCTCAATTTTATTTGCCACTTATCGAGTTTAATCTAGCAGGGACAGAGTACACTGGGTATCTTAAGAATGCAAAGATAAATCCCTCCTCTCTAAGAAAACAAAATGAAAGTCTTAGCCTATCTAATCTTTTCACAAATATAGTTACGTAGATTAAAATTTTTAGTAACCTGAAGGCTATCGAAGGAGGGAAAACATGATTGTGATACAAAGCGACATTCAAGAATTTACCAGGTGTTATTTCCCTAGCAGCTGGGGAAGGGTGACTAGAGGACAATACCTGCAACTCTTAACTGAAAAAATAAGCCATAAAAATCCTGACCCTTACAAGGGAAGAAATCTAGGAAAACTAAAAGTGCACAAAGTACTCCTTGCCAAGGGGTGGTCTGTGGATTCAAAGCCCAGGTGACTATAACCCCGCCCCAAACAACAACAACCCTCGAAGGCAGCTAGTCCAAGGCAACATTTTCTAATCTCCTACCAGAGTCCCACAGAAAACTTCCAAGTGAAGCTTACTGTTTTGGTTTTGAGTAGTTTAATACTAATTCAATGTATGAAATGAAGATTAGAAATATCATGTATGGTTTTATAGTAAGAAGAGAAAGGAAGAGAGCGGAGACTGGGCCTGTAACTCATGTAATGGCACACTTATTAACTCAGCCAGGTTTCCAGATTTGTAGAGCCACTGCGGTGTGCTGGAGGAGCCATGGAAGAAAGGGTGACTGTGGTCACAGACGTCTTTCTTTCCATTTTCAATCTCCTTTACTATAAAGAGTTGTATCAATCTCTGCCCATAGAGTCCCTTGGATTCAGGGTCTAGTACAAGTTAAGGCAGATTCTGCTTGTGGAAAGTGTTTACACTACAGAGGTTTTCTGCGTCAGAGAGAGACTCCTGGCAGGTTCTCAAAAACATTCTCTATTATTTGTGATTCAGCAAACCACCTAAGCATCATCTTCCAAAGAAAGGCCTGGATAAATCAACTACCAAATGGGCATGAGCACTCTAATTAACAAGTGGGAGATAACGAACTATATAAAATCTCAAGCATTTGACAAACAGGGAAAGCAACTGCTAAAATATTTACTAAAGGGAAATGTACATTTTGATTCAAAGTTATTCATGATTTTTTTAATTCCCAGATTTTGAACACAGGAAATTTTCTTTTGGAATGATGAAGTCTGGGAAGACTGAGTCACCAAAAACATTTGAAACACTTTACCTAGAGATAATTTAAGATTATTTAGAGATAAGTTATTTCAATTTAAAAGAGCCAAAAAGGTTAATGTTCCCAGTGAGACTTATATTTTAGGACAAGTGACTCTTTAAATAATGTTCACAAACAAAGAAGATTCAGAAAATGCAAAACAGAAGACTTCGAATGGCAGCACAAAAACATGGTCCTTAGCTTTGAAATTTTACATTTTGGGACAACATGGATCTTCTACTATGTATATTTACTGCAAAAAAACTTAAGAAAAAACTGTAAAGCTCATAATTGGTAAAAGTATTGGTAACTTTTTCTAAATTCTAAAAACATAAGCATAGGTTCTTTTAGACTGAATGAAAACAGCCAAGAGAACCACAAGTGTGCGTTAACTGGACACACGGCGTCTTTGGGTTGTGCCGTTTTTAAGAATGGTTCCACAGAGCATTTCACTTCAAACCCAGTAAATCTCTTTCTCTTGTTCAGTGAATAATGAAAACTGTGAATAAAATTCAAAAAATAGATTTCTAGGTCCCAACTCTTCAGAATAAATTTAGAGCTTTGAATCCTATGTTCATTTCCAAATCATGTACAGTAAAATTAAGGTCAGTCTAATTCTTTAGGATAATCCCAACCCTTGGGACAAAGTGAGAGTAACAGGTTACGAAGAAAGGTCAGAATCAAATTAAGATGTCATTTTGCAAAAACTTTTAAGAGCTATTCCTTCAGATTTAGCAATTTATATCCATCTTTTGTTTAAAATTATAGCAGTAATGTAAAATATTATCAAAAAGACAAAAACCACAAATACAATTATGCTTCAGTATTTATTTTCTAAAATTAGGATTAAATTGCCTCTCTTCTTTAAGTAGGAATTAGTTATGGAGGATTTATGTCTATGAAATGGCGAAGACGAAATATTATTACAAATGGCATGCCAGCCTTAAAAAGCTGAGGTTTCCTTTTTGAAGCACTAGGTAAACTGCATAAACACATACAGTAAAAGGATGAGCTAAATTATGTGGGACAATTCTTAAGACATTAGAGGTCAGCAAAAACATTTTCCTATTCTTAGCATGACATCTGATATTAAATTTCAAATTAATCTAATAGCATCATAAAAAAATAGTATTCATATAAAAGAATGCCTGTTAATATTGTGAGGGTACAAAGTATGCAAGGAAATAGAATGGGTGAGCTGCTTCCACAGTTATCCAATCACTCTTTTTAAGAACAAGTTAATATCCCACAAAAGAGAAATATCTTTAAGAGTCATATCCAGAACTGACCTAAACCTTATAAATTACTAAGAGCTTCTCATTTTTTAAAAAGTACATGATAATGAAAAGTATGATATACATTATATGCTTGATTCTACATCAAGTTATTGCTGGTTCACACAGCAATTTTATAGTGCATAAGCTGGCATTAATGGGTTATAAGAAAGAGTAAAGTTTGTTCATATACAGTTGTCAACATAAAAGAAACAAGGCACTCAATGGCAACAGTGCTGTCCCAGAATATCTTACAGACCAGCTCCAGCAGGTAACCTTTGGTACAGCTCCTTAACCTCTTCATGCTTTGCTTTGCCTTTATCCACACTTTGCTTACGCATCTCGGCCATTTCAATACACCATTCCTCAAACTTGGAATTATCTCGATCTACCAGCTCTTGAAGAAAGGCTGTTCAAACAGAAAGAAAAAATAACATTATCCTGTTTCTAGACATAGAAAGATGTTGATCTTAAATTATATCAAATATTGGCTAAGATTTTGGTGGCAGCATCCTTCTGTGGTCTCCTTTTGTATTAGAGAACTCCAACCTGAAGGCAAAAGTAAACCCGAAGACAGACGTTAGAATGCAACTCCCTCCACCTGGTTCACCATGATATCATCTACCAGCCCAAACCATCCAATGGTTCAGAAATGCAACTTCAAAATTGATGGTGCCACAGAGAACAGAACAGTATTAGGTGAGATGAAAACTCAAGACTGCCTTCAGGCCAGTAGCAACTCTTCC